CATCTGTTGTTTGTTTTCATGGTGACAGCTGTTCTGACCGGGGTGAGGTGAATCTCAGTGCAGTTCAGATTTGTATTTTTCTTGTGACAAAGCATGGTGAACAGTTCTTTTATGTGTTTATTTTTCATATAAATGTCTTTGAGACATTTCATTCAATTCATTCATTCTTTCTTTCTTTATTTGATACAGGGTTTCTCTGTGTAATAACTTTGGCTATCTTGGAACTCATTTTGTAAACCTGGCTGGCCTCGAATTCAGGGATCCGCCTGCCTCTGCCTCTTGAGTGCTGGGATGAAAGGTGTGCGCCACCACCGCCCGGCATGATTTTTTCTTTTTAACTGAAGAATTCTACTTCTTTTTCTTTGGCAGTGTTGGGATTGAGGCCAGGGCTTTGCGCAGGTTACTCAGACACTCTTATCACACTCTTCCTTTTGATTTAGAGATGACCACGTACAAACACAAGGATATAAGGAAAACACTGCTGTTGACAGCGGTGACTTCTGACAGTGTGTGGATGGGAGGTCTACCAGTGACAGACTGGCCAAAGAACGCCCACTCCGTGGTGGGACACGGGAAAGATGTGAGAGGGCAAGAAAACAGGTGCACCCTTGGAGCCTCCAGAGAGCTATGCATCCTGTGGATGGATACCTTACTGTTAGTCTAGTGAGACTGTGGATTACTGGCTCCAAGAACTGTAAAGAGACTGGATTTGTATTTTTAAAGGGGAAATGATGATGGGAGAAATGGGGAAAAGGAAGAAGAGGATGAAGTAAGAGAGAATGGAAGAAAACCCTACTCTATACAACAGTCTGATTTTTTTTTTTTTTTTGGTTTTTCGAGACAGGGTTTCTCTGTGTAACTTTGCACCTCTCCTGGAACTCACTTGGTAGCCCAGGCTGGCCTCGAACTCACAGAGATCCGCCTGGCTCTGCCTCCCGAGTGCTGGGATTAAAGGCGTGCGCCGCCACCACCGCCCGGCCAGTCTGATTCTTTTAAAACTGTGGGCCCTTGTAAAACAACATTTACTTATGCCCCTCCTTTTTTTTTTGGAGACAAGGTTTCTCTTTGTAGCCCTGGCTGACCTGGGACTCCAGGCTGGCCTTAACTTAGACAATATCCACCTGACTCGGCCTCCTAAATCAGAATAAAGGTGTATACCACCGTGCTCTTCCAGCTTACTAAAGCATTTAAAAATCAGTGAAGGGAGCCGGGCGGTGGTGAGGCACGCCTTTAATCCCAGCACTCGGGAGGCAGAGCCAGGCGGATCTCTGTGAGTTCGAGGCCAGCCTGGGCTACCAAGTGAGTCCCAGGAAAGGCGCAAAGCTACACAGAGAAACCCTGTCTCAAAAAACCAAAAAAAAAACAACAAAAAAAAAAAAAACAAACAAAAAATCAGTGAAGGGAGAAATAATTTCAATAGGAAACTATAAAATGACTTATAGTTTGTCTATAAAAGTGATAAAAAATTGATTTAATTTTTTGAAACACAAAGATAAGAGCAATGGTTCCCAAACGGTGAATTAGCTGCATTCTGGGGGTAGGGAAAGTCTCTGTCAAAAACTCCAGGCAATAAATGGGTGGGTTGAGACACACAGCAAGTATAATATACACTTGGATTTGTAACCAATAGCAGAAGCCATCCCTTTGCTTTTTTAATCAGTGTAACAGATTGCAAACACCGGAGTGTGGCAGTATCGACGCGGCTCCTGGGGCTATAGGGAATGTACTAGCTCTACAAACAGATGGGCGGAGCCTCTTTCTTATAAGTTATGGCAGAAGATTTAGAGAACAGTAATGAGACTTTTATGTTTATTATAAGATATGGGCTGAAACATAGTTGGAAATACACCAAAATCACGTTCCAGGACTGACTGGGAGTGTGCATTTGGCTTTTTGGCTTTTTGTGATGACATAATAAGGGTACTAAACAAGCTCTGACAGTTGGGAGCACCATTCTACAGGTGAGTGACTGACTCATCAACAGTGTATTAGCGCCTGGACCACAGAAACCTCCCAACACTGCAGCTCTGCCTCTACCCACTGCTCGATGTCAGGAAACCACTTTCTCTCTGGAAGATATCAAGATAGCTCAACTGGTCATGAAGTCACTGCAATAGTTACAGGAGTTTATTTTGGGGCAAACTTTTATGAAGCCAGAGGCTTATATACACAATGAAAATAACCAAATACAAAAAGTAAAATGACATAATACTCTTTGCCATAGTTTCTTTGAACATACTTTCTTTTTGCTTCAGCTGGTTCATTTTCTAGACCACTTTATGTCTCTAAGGCAAAACACGGGAAGTAGAACCATTAACAGGAAGCCATTAAGATCCAACTTCAAGCCATTTTTTTGTTTGTTCATTTTTTTTCATCATTTTGAAATGACAAGGCTATGACTTGATTATAAACTGCGAGGACACAACAGAATTAAGCCTTAAGATTAAGGCTGAATCTCTTAATGTTTAATGAAGAGGACTACAAAAGACACCTTGATTAAAAGCGAGTGTGCCAGAATAGCCGAGACAGGCACCTGTGGCGTTTGAGAAATTAACACAATCAGCTCTAATTCCTGGAGAAACAAGTGGAGCTGATTAGTGACGGGTAAAACGAACACCCGGTGAGAAAGCCTGATCTCTCCTGTGCTAGGAGGAAGTCCTAGGGAGACTTAAAAGGAAGTGAAAGATCCCACAAATTATCCTTAATGACTACTTCTCTGGCTGGTGGGTGGAGTCTTTTTTTTTTTTTTCTCTTCTCCAACAAGAAGGAAAAGGAGATAGGAAGATGTCGTCTCAGGTATCAAGGTTTTGTGGTATATAAGAAAATAAATCCCTCAGGGGTAGGAGCAGGCGGTGGAAGATAACAGTGTGGGTGAGGATGGCCATCTGACTGTGTGAGCGGGAGGAAGGGAAAATGCCAGAGATCGTAATCTTCCTTTCAGCAAGAGAAGGCTGTTTAGATGTATTTGTCAGGCAGAACGAATATGTGGGCAGCTCAGAAGGTGTGTGCGAGACACACCCATTCTTTGCAGAGCACCTACTTAGAATGCAATGGGATTATTTATAAGGGCAAAGAAGTGGGAGTGGAGAGGTTTTGCTCCACAGCAGGAGCTGGTAAAGAAACACTGAAGGGGAAGGCAGCAAGGGAACCTCTCTTCCCAGGCACTCTCTATAAAGATTTGTGCCTGTGGAGAGATTGAAGGACAGCCCTCCCAACAGGCAGGAGTTTCCTCATTCAGCATGGTACCGTAAAGTACATTTACTCACTTGAGCCTGATCCTTTGTATAGGCGTGAACACTGTTTGGAAGGCCCAAGAGCAATTAAAAGGGATTTTCTGGAGGCTATGAGGGCTTTCCTAGGCAGGAACGCGTAATGAAAACCCCTAAGTGCGAAGAAGCAGGCGGAGGGATGTTTGAAAGTTGGGTGTAGTGGCACACACCTGTAATCCCAGCATTTGAGAGGCTGAGGCAGGAGGGCCATTGTGAGCTTGAGGACAGCCTGGTCTACAGAGGGGGAGAAGGAAGAGAAGGAAGGAGATGGATGGATGGATGGATGGATGGATGGATGGATGATATATAGATGAGAGATAGATGAGAGGGGTGTTGAGCTTGAGTAAAAAGGAATGAAAACAAAGGGTAGAAAAATCTAGATGGTTTCCACTGTCTTTCACAGAACATGAATGTTGCAGAGATGACTGGGCAAAATAAATTTATTTCAGACATGGTGTTAGTATCCTTTCTCCCTTCCTTCCTTTTTCCCCCTCTCTAAGACAGGGTTTGTGTAACAGCCCTGGAACTCCTTTTGTAGCCCAGGCTGGCCTCGAACTCACAGGGACCCTCCTGCCTCTGTCTCCCGAGTGCTGAGATGAAAGGTGTGAGCCAGCACCACCCGGCTCCAGTATCCTTTCTTCTCACCAATGTTGGCCGGAAGCTGAGCTGGCTTATGCAGGCCTGTAATCCCAGCTGCTCAGGATTCTGAGGCAGGGCAATCACAAGTTCAAAGCCAATTCAAGGCTAGCCTGGGTAACTTAGCAAAACTCAGGCTCAAAAACTGAAAAGAAGGCTGGGGATGCGGCTCAGTGGTAGAGAACTGGTCTAACAGGCTCCTAGATTTCATTCCCAGAACTAAAAACTGAAGAAAACAAAGGCAAATCTGGCCAAAACTCTGATCGGAACAAGTCTCTGGAACTCGGTCCTAGGAACTCTAGTCAGTGCAGCACACCACATCAGCGCTGCCCCCTCAGAGGCGGAACCCGAGAGGTGAGTCAGAGCTCTTCGGTGAGAACACCTACCATACAGCAACTCTGCGTGATTTTCTGGCCACAGAGGGCAGTACCTGCTACCGTCTGTCTACAAATGAGAGGGATGAAATTTTGGAATTTAGCCAGCTTCCATAACCACAATGATAACACAGGAGAAACCACCGTTTCCAAGTCTAGGGTACTTATTCTGTGCCCCGTTGACTATAGTTTGACCCACAGCAGGGGAGCTTGCTAAGCACGTAAGAAGGAAGCTTGAAAATGCATCTCCTTGGTCCTGGGTTTGAGCCCGAAACTCGAGCAGGAGCAGCCTCTGTGCATGCGAGTGTAGCATCTTAACCGGCTGATTCGTTCCTGGAAGCACGTATCTGAGGGACTGACCAAGAACCACATAACACACAAGGTGAAGTTACAAAAGTATAGAAACCAACAGAACTGGGCTCTGCAAAGGTCAACTTAGAGCCGTGGTCCTCAACCTTCCCAGCGCTGTGACCCTTTAATACAGTTCCTCAGGCTGTGGTGACCCCCCCCCCCCCATAAAACTGTTTCATCGCGACTTCATAACTGTAATTTTGTGACTGTCAGGAATCATAATGTACACATCTGATACGCAGGCTATCTGATATGTGACCCCCGTGAAAGGGTCCTTCAACCTCCAAAGAGGTCTTGGCCCCCAGTTTGAGAACTGCTGACTTGAGAGTACAGCACAGACGCTGAGCTCACCACACATATCAGCACTAACCTGAAGAACTTCCACAAAAGCGATCACGCAGAGTCCCTTACCCTCTGTAGGTCTCTGGGGCAACCCAAGCGCACGCGGTCCAGCTGTTCTCCGGTCTCTCAATCCAGTGTCCTCGGGGCCATTTCTAGCTGTCAGCCGCCTCCCAGTAACCTACAGACTGGTTTCAGTCTTCACGTCTGCAGACCTTGAAGGTCTCCCTCCCCATCTCCTTCCATCCACTTCGGCCTGTTTGGGGAGACACAGTCACCCAAACTGTAGGGAGGTTTTCAGGACTGTCTAAGGAGCCGACAGGCTGAAGACCGAGTGAACCTGTCTTCCTGGCCTCGGCTCGAGGCTACGAGGCAGGAGGGACATCCTGCTGCTGCAGCTTCATATTTACTGAGAGCTCACGAAGCTTTAATATACGCGAGAACAAAATGATGGCATGATCTTTAGCCTCTGGGGGATTGGGCTGTCTTCATTAAAAGCTACAGCTCCGACTTCCCCCAGAAGCAGAGCAACAGTTAAGGAACATCACACTGGCAGTGATTGGCTGGTGTGACTGCACTCAGCAAGTGAATTTTCCCAGCAAGATGGAGAGGCACTCCCTGTTTTAGATCCCCAAAGCCCAGATGCAGCGCCACTTACACAGTTATTATACTTTATTACCATTCACTGGCTTGCTGAGTCCATAAACGTGTGTGTGTGTGTGTGTGTGTGTGTGTGTGTGTGTGTGTGTGTGTGTGTGCAGCCTACTATGTGTTAGGCACAAATCAAGTGCTGATCGCTGTTGGTAGGATGAACAAATGGAATCTCAGCCTGTGAGGACGCACAGAGTACGTGTGTGTGTAGGGGGCATACGTGTAGGATTTAAAAAAAAAAGGTGTTGCTGGAGCTAAATTTTGAAGATGAGTGGGAGTTAACCCAGTGGATGAGAAAAAAAAAGCATTCCAGGAAGAGGTAAAAACACACACCAAGCATGGAGCTATATGGGGACTCCATCATGACTTAGAGCTATGCAGCCAGCTTGGGTGCTGGATAGAAATAGGCAAGGAAATCAGCATTCACATAGGAATTAGCATCAGCTCAAAGAACTGGTTTGAGGTAGCATGCTTAAAATATTTGTTTAAAGGAGAATATTCATTTGAATTCAGGGAAGAGGGGAGAGTAAGGGAGGGGAGCTTGGCCAGGATGATGAGAGACCGTCCTGATAAACCCCAGGGCTGAGCTGTGAGTGCAATGGCTTTCCAACATGCAACTCTTTCCCTCAACCTGAGATCTGGCAGGTAGTAATTGCAGGAATCACCGGGGCTTTGTCTACAAGGAGGCATAAGCTTAAGAAACAAACACAAACACGATAAAGAGGGTGCGCCAGTCATCTCACTGAATGTTTCAGTGAGAGGACCACAGGAACGGGAGATGTGTTCAAAATCAGAGGTCATAATACGTAAAGGGCCTTGTCACCTGTAACGTACTATCCAAGTATATGACTAGCGGAGGAAGGCAAGAGTGTGTGTGACCAGTTCGCTCAAAACACATGGGCAAAAGTAACTTTGGCAGGGGGGTTGGAATGTGGCTGCTTGTAGAAACACATCTTAGCAGTTAGTTGTCGGTGACACCTGGGAAAATGGCACACTCTCTACTGACTGCCAGATAATAGCCTGTAAAGCTGTATTTTCCCTAATACTTTCCCTGCACTTTATATTAATAGTGAACAAGTGAGGAAATGCAGACCGATTCTATGCAAACTCCTCAAGGACAAGAACTTTCCTACTTATATGGCATAGCGCTGGCCAGTTGGCAGCACTTAGGATGTGTGCAGACCTCTGAGGGGATTGCTGGAAGGTGGGTGGAGAGTGGAGAGATGCTATAATGGAACCAATAATCATGTCTCCAGATGGACACTGACAGTTCAAGCTTCTTGGTCCAAAGCTGGTAGAGCAATTCCAGTCAGAGCTCAGTCATTAAGGTTGAATGATCGAGTAGATAATGATCTTCCCATCAGATATGAATAAGTAAATCTGGGGGATAAAGAAGCATTGCCAGAGAGGCGTGTGGGACCGATAGACAATGGATACTTTAGCTGAAGAGATGGGAGACTATTAGCATAGATATGAACCACTCAGGACCAGGTGTACTGGGAGAAAACAGGAACATGGGAAAGGACCTGGGGAGGTTTATTATCCATGGTCCAAGAAAAGGAAGCACTTAGAAAATACATGGTTAATGCTGGAAGAGAAAAGTGGATAGAATGTGCTCAGAGAACCTATGAAGAGCCAAGGCTGAGAAACCCACACCCATTTGTGCTTACTCAGGTGGGAAGGGGTGTTCTCCTTTATTTTCCTTTGGAACGAAGCATTTTTGAGGAGATTGGGCCGCCTGGTAACACCGTCACACACATTCTACTGGTGCTGTGCTTAGGCACTATTCTGACAAGTTTTGAGATGTAATGTCGACTCAATATTAGACCTCAGGAGATGGTAATGAGAATCCAAGATCTGGGCAGCACTTGGATCAAGCAAGTGATTTTCCCCAAGGTTACCAGGGAGTGTGATACTCAGAGCCCTTGATGAAAAGATCAGTTTAGTAACAACAACAATAATACAACAATAACACTCCAACAAGAACTATCTGAGAGCCTTTAGTCCCAGCACTCAGGAGAGAGAGGCAGGCAGATCTCTGAGTTTGAGGCCAGCCTGGTCTACAGAACAAGTTCCAGGACTACACAGAGAAACCCTGTCTTGAAAAGAACAAACAAAAAACAAACAAACAAACGAACAAGGAAGTATCGGAATTAGGACAAACTCCACCATATGTGCAGGCGTGGTCTCAGTTTTCTCTTAAAACAATATATGTGTTTACTTTGGTCAGATGAAGTAACGAGAGGGTTTAAGCTGAGAGGGGATTAAACAAGTGTATAACAGAGAGGTGCCACCCAATATGAACCTGTCAGAATTTGCTTGTTGAGCTATGCATGAGGCACCACAACCATTACATCCTTAAAGGAGCCAAGTCGTTAAGGAAAAGAAAGCCCAGCTAACAACTGGTAAGAGTATTCAGTTTCCTCAACAGCATGGTCTCTCTTCTCACTGTGTCATCTCAGAAGCCCGAAGGAGCAGTGTTTTTTCTTTTTATCTTTTGTTTTTGAGACAGGGCCTAGAACTTGCTATGTAGCCCAAGCTGGCCTTGAACTTGCAATTTGCCTGCCTCCACCTCCCAAGTGTCAGGATGATAGACACAGGTTACCACAGCCAGCGCAGAAAAACAGGGTTTTCTTGTTTATTTGGTTTTGGTTTTCTGAGACAGTTTTCCTTGTAGCCCAGGCTGGCAATCCCCCTGCCTCAGTCTCAAAGTAGGTATATACGTTTTCAAAGAAACCTAGGACCGAGCCTGACTATATGATGGACCTCTGCTCTGATGTGGCCACTTCTCGCTGGAGCCCAGCTCCAGGAGGCTAATTTTATCAAAGGAGGATGCTACTCGGTTTGGCTGTGCAGGAGGAGTACAAAGATGAACAGGGACACTCCAGAATGGCTCTGTGGTAAATTCCATGGCTTGGCCCCTTCACCACTCCACTTTTGGATAAGAAGCCAGAATCTATCTTTGGGCCCAAAGTTAAACCCTTAGGATTCAGCTGAAATGAAAGTGTTGAGGGGGCGAGACAGGGGACAGACTCAGGCTTTCTCTCCCAGACAACAGATTACCAATAAGCCTTTCTTGGCTCGCATCTTTCCCATGCTCCTGCTTCTCTCGCACAGAGGAACTGTTGGGCAAAGTGTCTTGAGTGGTATTTATGGATTAGTGTCCACTGGTGCACATAGAGGGCCCCAAGGGAAGTGTGGATGACTCTTAGAAGTGACAGTGTCTTCCTCAAGATCCTGCAGCGGGGAAGGTAGCCCCAGGAGACTCCACTGTGGGTCCCTCTAGTTCTCCCAAGCAAGTCCTGACAATCTGGGGATTAAGTGGACAACTGCTCCCATGGTCCCATGTTCAGTTAATCCGTCCTCGTCGGGGTAAGCTATGCTATTGCAAAGCCCCACGCTTGGCACTCCAACATGACTTATTAACAGCCATCCACCCTTGCTTCTGCCCCTCTTTGATACTTTTCTCTGAGTTAAATTAGAAGAACAGACTTCATCATGCTAACGTGTGTGACCTAACGTTAGCAAAGTGCTAAGCCTGCATCACAAATACCGAATGTTTAAATGGGGCAATTTTATGAAGCTGTTGTTAAGTATTACGTAAGATGTTTAAACATCTAGCACCGTGCCCGGCACAGGGGTGCTCAAAAATCCTCTCCTCTCTCTTATTCCTCCCCCCAGAAACTTGGTCTCACTGCTTTGGGTAGTCAAACTCAAGAGCTCAGATCTCCTGTCTTTGATCTGGAGGCCTCACTGGTCCTGGCACCCCCCTTGGGCCCTGTGCTCTTAGGAGCAGTTTCCATCTCCCCTGAAGTCCAGCTCGAAGCCAACCGGGCTATCATACAGAAGGGAGATTCTAATGGGGACAGGGTGGGAACTGGAATGCACAAAGGCCACAGCCCCACAGGCCCCACTCCTTTCCACTATGTTGAGGGGGTACAAGCGAGGGCATACTGAGCCCGATAGGAGGTCAGTGCCAAAGTCCTTGGAGCTACGATGTCACAAATGGACCCAATTTTTCCAGGCACAGGTTCCTTTTGGGCATCTCTGGAGCACAGGCTAAGATCGCCTGGGGTTCACCAACACCACCGGGAAGGTCCCTGGGGTCCCCAGATGGTCTCCCGTGGAGCCAAGTCCAGAGACTACCTTGATGCTACTCCACTTACACAGAAGGCCTCCCTGGGGCCCTGGGGAGGATGCCCTCCACACTGGGGCTGGACCAGGCAAAAAGTGCAGGGCGCCCTGGGCGTCTCCCTTCACGTCGCCCCACGGACTCCCTCAGGGGTAGAGGCGGCGGTCCCTGGGGTGCATCCGTTTGCACAGGGCCCCCCCCCGGGGGCGGCTCCCACACCAGCATCCAAGTCCGGGAGGACCGTCCGGGGAGCGCAGACCCGCCCCTCAGGGGGACAGGCCGGGTCCCCCCGCCCCCGCCCTCGCTTACCGGGACAGTCCGCGTGCGGGACGCGGGTCCGAGGCCGGCTGACTCTTACTGCCGCGCGGGCCCGCGCTGCCCACGGCCGCTCCGGAGCCGACGTGCCGGGCCGAGCTCCGGGAGCGGGCGGCGCGGGCGGCGCGACAGGCTGAGGCGGCGGCGCGCGCGCCCGGAGCACGCCCACCCGCGGCGCGTGCACCCGCGCCCGGCGCCCTCGGCCGGCCCGTGGGCGCGCGCCGCCCCACCCTCCGGAGCCCCAGGCGCGGCCCGCGCGGCTCGGCTGGCCGCGGGCGTGGCGCGCGGTGGGGAGCACGGCCGCGCGGTGGGGAGCACGGGCGCGCGGCGGCGGCGGCCGAGGAGCGGGGCGGTCCCGGTGCCAGGGGGCGCCCGCACGAGCAGCCGGCACTGCGGCGCGGGGACTGCGCCAGCCCGGCCGCCCGCGGCAAGGTCAGCGCGCCCCGGAGCTGGCCCGGGTCTGCGCTGCAGGGGCTGCGGCGACGCTCC